TTAATTTTTTTTTTTTTTATTTGAATGGTGGGAGCCATAGCCAGCCTGCTATTGGATATTTCAAATTGCAATAGCCAATAGCAGGCTGGCTATTGCATCTGCCCACTCCCTACTGTCAATTATTAAATAATATAGCATATTATGCCCTAATCATGTTCACAAATGTCTGTGTGTATGTGTATTATTTATTAGATATATATATTATACATGCACACAGTATATAATTTTTTTTTTCATCCTTTCAGTTTCATGAGGAACGTCAAATGGTCTGGGATCAAAGAGAGGTGGAACTGGAACGTCAGTTGGATAGGTATGAGCAGCAACAACACGAAGTTCTCGCCACTGCTCGGAAGGTACCTGCTTTGATTGCTTCATCTACAATCATGTTTTTAGACTGCTTTAATGAGTTTTTTTTCTTGGTTTTCTTTTTTTAATAACTTGTTATCTTTGTGTGTCAGTTTGAGGAAGCTACAGGAGATATACCTGATTCCAGCCTACCCCTACCTCAACAGCTTGACATAGCACTTCGCAAAATAAAAGAACATGTGCGCACCATACTGGAAACTAAAAGTGTATGCCAAACATTACAAGAGGTAGGTCAAGCTGTGTTAGATGCAATGCATGAACACAGAAAAATGGAAAACATGTTTTAATATAAATTATTGTCATTCTACAACTTCCTTGTGAATATGTTTTAAACACATCAATATGGGGTCTTGATTCAGCTCGGCTGTGTATGTTCCTGCAAACACGTGGTTGTTCTTTGAATAAAAAGTAATCCAAAACTGTACTAGTAAGTATAACTTTTGAAAATAGCAAAAGAAAATAGATCTATTTTGGTAATTGTGATCATTTAATGCTGAACTCTAAGCAGATATAAAAATACACCAATTAATTCAGCTTTTTAATAATAGTTACATAGATAGTCAGGTTTAAAAAAGACCCATAAAGTTCAACCTACAGAGATATGAAAAAAAAAGCCTTAACAGAACTCTATGCCCACAATAACCCACTGTTGATCCAGAGGAAGACAAACCCATCCCCCTATAAAGCATGGTTCAATTTGCTTTAACAGGAGGAAAAAAATCCTTCCCGATCCCATCCTTAAATCCTTAAAATATCAATAAATGTACAGTATTGTTTAAATTCAAGCAGGGTAAGTAACTGAATTTGACTTGGTATCAGCCTCTTTCCGTTCCTGTACGGCAGGGCGGGAGTATGAGAGGAAGAAAAATCAGTTAATGTGCTGACAAGAAGCATGCTGATCGGAGGAGAAAGCAGAGTGGTCCAGAGATGAGCTCATCACTGTGCTGCTTCTTCTTTCACTGTCAAGTCACAGGCTGGGGCCGCTCCAGGATGACCCAGGCTTAGAGGAAGTGGGTTGAATGATGCTGGCCCTCCGACTG